AGTCTGATTGGCTGCTTATTCTGACCGTGTGAACTTAAGGTGCCATTTAAGGTGGAGCAGGAGCTCCATTCTTCCACACTAACGGTTCTAGATCATCTTTGAAGGTGGAGCAGGTGTGGAACCCTGGTTCTCCATCGGTTCCTCACCCGCCTCCCTCTGGTCTGTGTGATGCAGCTCTGCCTAAAGAGTACGAGCGGATCGGCCGAGCCTTCAGTAACCTCTCCACCGTTTTCGCCACCAGCAGGTATCCAGGTGAGGCCACCAACAGGTTAACTGCGGTGCCTTCAGGGACAATTGGACGTTTAACTTGATTCATAGGAAGTGTTTGTGCTGCAGGAGAGGAGACACTGACCAACGCGCTGACAGTGGCTGGAAAAACCTATGAGGAGATCGCTCAGATCGTCGCAGAGCAGGTAGACCCCCCCACACTAACAATCACATTTTGCTATCCTTGTGGGGACTCTCCATCATTTCTAACCCGTTTCTATAGCCTAACATTAGTCCCTATCCTAACATCTAACCCTTAAACCCCCCATGGGTCCCCGCAATGTGCTATGATTCAATGGAAATGGTCCTCACACTGTCAGAAAAACATAGAAACACACACAGCCTCTAAAGCTATTCAATGTTTTCAGCCTCAGAAGGATCTTCACTTCCTGCTGGAGACCAACAGCGAGTATAAAGGCCTGTTGGGATGTTTCCCGGAGATACTCACTGTACACAAGGTACTTCTCTCATACTACTACTAATACTACTGTCGTACTACTACTGACTGCTGACTACTGTCGTACTGTAAGGTACTACTGTAGTATTACACTGTAGCTGTGAACACAGGGTGTCTGTGGGGCTACAGTTAGTTATCTTTAAGGCCCTGAAGGCTGGAGCTGATCAGTCCTGATCTACAGATTGTATTTCTACATATAGATCTATGCTTTTGTTCTATAGATCTTTCATCCTGAGGTTTTCCTCCTGCAGCGTTCAGGTTATTCAGTCTAATGTTGGACCTGACGTGTCAACACAGCCGCCATCTTGGATGGGTCTCCTGCAGTTTTCAGCCGATGATAAACAGCAGAGAAGTGATGATGATGATGATGTAGACGATGAATGACTCAGATGCTGTTTGATCCTCTGCAGCAGACGTGTTTACAGGAAAATGTCCAATAAAAGTTTAGTAGAAACTGTTCAGCTCCTCTTCCTGCCGTTTTAATGTTTTAATCTCAGGTTTAGAGTTGATTTTAATCCTAAACTCATCCCTCATGTCGGATGTTTTCCTCCAGGTTTAAAAACCGAAATGATTAAACTATTGTTGAAAAACAGCAATCAGTAAGATTCTGGAAAAAGTTGTTCAACATTAAACTGCTTTCTTAACAATGATCAGCAGTTTGAAATCTCCCAGTCAGGTTTCCATAGCAACCACAGTAGAGAGGCTTATTGATGTGTTCAATGACATCCGTATAAACTGTGGAATAACTACAGTGGTGGTATCATTGGACCTCAGAGCAGTTTGAGTCTTTGATCGGTGGATTTTATTAGAGCGTCTGGAAACTGGGTCAGTCTTTCTGGTTCAGAACTGGGCTGGTTTATCCTACCTGAAGGACGGGGACGTCTACGGGTCAGCAGGAAACCTCTAATCAGAGGGTTAAGTTAAGACCAATCCAGGTTTTTCTGTCTTCAGACATGCCTGTAATCTATGTAATGGGTTAGCTTCATCTGGATTATAGACAGATATAGCTGGGTATCATCAGCTTACCGTGGAAATTAATCCCATGCTGTCTAATAACTCTACCGATTGGGAGCATGTATAAAGTAAAGAGAATTGGTCCTAGCACTGATCCCTGTGGTACTCCACAGGTAACCTTTGAGCGTGTTGAAGATCTATCATTAGCATGAACAAACTGAATTCGATCAGATAGATCAGATTTAAACCAGTCTAGAGCTGTTCCTTTAATTCCAACAAAATATTCAAGTCTTTCTAAAAGAATATTCTGATCAACTGGATCAAATGATGAGTGACAGCTCAGGTGCTCGGATACCTGCGGGGGAAGATGGAGGTCAGGAGGACAGACAGGGGTCCAGATTTATCAGCATGATGTCACAGACGGTCAAACCCTTTCAAGCCCTTCAACATTTACAGCCGTTAGCTCCTCTGCTAGCAGAGACCTATCCAAGATGGCTGCCTATAGACGTGCTCTATGTGGTGCAGAGCAGTGGGCGGGGCCTGAGCGTGCTCTGTGTGCAGGCTGCAGCAGAGAAGGTGAAGGAGGCGGACCGCCTGGTTTCTGCAGGAAGGATCAGCAGCGGCGACAGGAAGCTGATGAACCAGCGGCTCAGCTGCATGAGCTACTCTCTGCAGGGTAACTGGAGCGCACGCCGCCATCACACTGAGCGCGCTCGCACTCTAACGCCTCACTTCCTGTCTCCTCCAGCTGAGATGAACCATTTCCATAGCAACCGGATCTACGACTACAACCGAGTGCTGAAGTTCTACCTGGAGCAACAGGTGACCTTCTACCAACAGGTACGGTGATGGGAGGGGCGGGGGGGGCAGGGAGCCAGCTGACCTGTGACATCACTTCCTGTGTGCTCTCTGATTGGACAGATTACAGACAAGCTGAGAGAAGCTCTGAATCATTTCGCCACCCTGTGAGGATGGAGCCTGGTGATGTCATCGTCTATTAACTGTCTCAGCCAATAAAAGCCTTCGAAGCGGTTTGACTCAATAAAAGCCTTGAAGTTTTCCTAACAAAATAAAAGCCTCGAAGTTTTCCTAACAAAATAAAAGCCTTGAAGTTTTCCTAACAAAATAAAAGCCTTGAAGTTTTCCTAACAAAATAAAAGCCTTGATGCTGTTACTGGGTGTGATAGGGACGTCTACCTGCTGCTGCTGATTGAATCTACCAATAAAATGTCTACCTCCTCTCTGTGTCCTCAATGTCCTCTTCATTGTCCCGGCGGGGGACGGTTCTCCATGTTCAGAACATCTGGTCCGACCAGCAGAGCTTCATCAACACTCATCTCTATTCGCTGGACTGCTGGTTGCCTGGTGGTAATACTGGGTTATAGTGAAGCCATCAGCCGCCATATTGGTACTCCCTAGTTAGACCGGTTGCAAAGTAAACAATCTGCGCTGCAGCATCGAACAACCATGTTCTCATTTTCAGGGACTTAAGACTTTTAAAATAAAGATAAATTCATCAGTTTGACACAGACTGGCTGTTTATTAGCATCAGTAGATTAACTTTAACTTAGAATAAAATAAATCGGCTCATCACATGCAGAGTCATTATGACGTCTATAAATCATTTAATATTTTATACAGGAGGGGGGGTAAGGAGGATTTAGAGAAGCCAGTAAACCTAACAGTCATGTTTTTAGACTGTGGGAGGAAGCAGGAGTACCCAGAGAGAACCCACGCATGCTCAGGGAGAACATGCAGAAAGACCCGGGCCGGGAATCGAACTCCAAACCTTCTGCTGCAAGGCAGCAGTGCGACCCATTTAGCAGCCCTAACATTTATGTTTTGGTCGCAGGAACATTAAATATCTGTGAGATCAAAGCAGCGCTGAACCAGCGGCTCTTTGATCTCAGGAATGAACCAATCATCCAGGAAAGGATCTGATGTCGAAGGAGCGGCTTCACTGAACCATCCTGAAGCCCCGCCCCCCCCACCGGAAGCTCCTCCTCCTCCTCCATCCGTGTGCAGGACCTGCAGGCTCTGCATGCTGGGAGAACCGCACTGGACCGAACCGAACCTGTAAGTCTGCGCCGTTTCTAGCTTTTTAACTGCTGCAGGTGGAGCGGATCAGAACACCTGGAGGGTTCTGACCCACAAGCTGGTCCTGCAGGACGGTGCGTGGGTCTGGGCTCAGAGGTTCTGAGCAGAACCGAAGCTGGTGATGGGTTTAATGTTCTCCGGGTTAGAAACATGTTCTGGATGAAGGTGAAGCGCTTAGAAGATGCAGAACGGCTAAAAAAGGCGGATTTCTGAATGGAGTCTGGTGCTGCGTTCAGGTAACATGGGTCTCAGTCTGTCTGATGCATGATTCATGGACTGAATCCAGAGCAGGTTCTGTTCTGAGCATCCGGACCTGGGTGGGCTGACGTCACAGAGACCTCCTCTGTGACCTTTGCCCTCTGCCCCCCTGGGGGTCTTCTTCTGTCCTTTTGATCCAGCAGCTCCTTTAACTGCAGCAATAAAACTTTTATGTTGAAGTTCAGCCCAAAGCCTCCTGCTGGCTGCAGTGGACCCGGAACGGGTCGGTTCTACAGAACCTTTCAGGGGTCGGACACATCAATGGGCGGCAAGATCAAAGCGAATCATTGAAACAAGAAGATTATTAAAAAGATCAAAGGGTCAAAAAAGAGGAACTAAAAAAAACAGACGGGTCAGAAAAGAGCCGGGTCAGGACAAAGACGGGTCAGGACAAAGACGGGTCAGGACAAAGACGGGTCAGGATAAAGACGGGTCGGTTCAAAGACGGGTCAGAAAAGAGACGGGTCAGGACAAAGACGGGTCAGAACGGTTCTAGTCTGGATTTAATCTAGTTCAGGCAGTTTATTCCAGATTAGTGAAGCAGAAAATTCAAATTAAGATTTAAGAATATTACCACCAAACAAACCAGTTTAACCAGTTTAACCAGTTTAACCAGCTGGTTCTGTTTCCTGGAACTGAGGTCCAGAGATCTGAAACCAGGATGTTTGGTTTTTAATGATTGATGTGGCCAGCAGGACCGAACATCCAATTCTATTCAGTTTATTTCTATAGGGTCACTTTATAGATCCAGTTCAACCAGATCATCCAGTCAGATTGATTCAAA